TGAATTTATAGTATCCAAATATTGATTACTTCAGTGAGTGAATGAAAAAAGCATTTATTAAGCACTTGGTACGTACAAAATACCATTGTGCTAAGTGCTGGGGATACAAATAGAAAATCAAGACTGGCTCTAAAGGAGCTGAATTTCTAAAATGTAAGAAAAAACACAGGATGTTTTAGTCTTAAAGCGGATGGAAAGGTCCAGTGTTCCTTAGAGTGGAGGTAGAAATGCATATTCCTCAGTGTCATTTCCTTTGATAAAACCATATCCATTTCTGATGATGAGCCATTGACAACGTCAAGAACTTTGGTGAAAATTTTGTCTTCCGGCTCCTAGTTGTTAATGGTAAGGAAAGGAAGGGCTAGCATGTGCAGAGGCAAGCAGGAAGTCCCATCTCTGTAAAGGTATTTCACTGTGTGATGACAGTGAGCCCGATTTTGAAGCCGGGTCAGTGTTCTAATCAACTGTACTATTCCTTGAACTTTTAGGTTTACCTGTGTGTCATTGGCAAACCTTCTGTTTGGCATTCTGAGTCTGTTAAGATCTAGCACAGGCTGCCTTCCTTCTCTAACCTTTTTTTTACTTTATACCCTTGATACTCTTCTATGCAGTGAGACAGACCTTGCTCTTCCACGAAGAAGGTACTCAGTCTCTCAGCTTCCAGGCGTTGTTATTGGATAGTCTCCATGCCTAGAATGTTCTCCTTCCTCATCTCTGCCTCCTGACTTCTTCAGTCCTAGCTAAAATCACAGTTAAAAAAAATGCAGTAAGCATACCCTGTGTCCCTTTAATTCTATTGCCTTCTCTAGATTATTTTCGAGATATATATGTATATATATGTGTGTGTGTGTGTGTATGTATATATATAGTTCGTACACAATTGTTTGCATGTTATCGTAACTATTGTGAGCTCCTGTAGGGCAGGAACTATCTTTTACCTTTCTGTGTGTCCCTAGTACTTAGCATGGTGTTTGACAAGTAGTAGGCACTTAATAACTGCTTATTTACTAACAGTTGTCTAAGGAGAGTTGCTATTCCTGGGGCTTTGGGGCACACCAGCCCTTTGGTTTCCATCTTGGTTTTGATAGGAAGTGGTAGTTGAGATTGTGGCATTGATTAATCTGATGGCATTATGCTCCTCTTCTCCCTCCCTCTTTCACAACGCGCCACTCCCAACACTGTTCCTCTGTTAGGACTCCTTGCTAGTCCAGCCAGTTTGGACTGCCTGTTCCCATAGTAGTATCTGATATTAGATGCAAAGATGAGATGACTCGTTTTTCCCAGCTTGTTGTGAAGCATGTAAGAGGAGCGGGCCAGACCGTCCTACTCCGCCAAGATGCCGGTCTCCAGGAGCTGGGTGTGTCGGAAGACGTGCTTGACGCCGCAGCGGCCCTTGGAGAAGTCGCGCCTGGAGCAGGACCTGAAGCTGATTGGCGAGTACGGGCTGAGTACGGGCTCTACAACAAGCGCGAGGTATGGCTGGCCAAGATCCGCAAAGCGGCCTCACACGGACGAGAAAGACCCGCAGCGGCTCTTTGAAGGCAATGCCCTGCTGCGGCGTCTGGTGGTATCTGCGTCCTGGACGAGGGCAAGATGAAGCTGGACTACATCCTGGGCCCGAGGATCGAGGACTTCCTGGAGCGGCGCCTGCAGACGCAGGGTTTCAAGCTGGGCCTGGCCAAGTCCATCCACCGCGTGCGTGCTCATCCGCCAGAGGCACATCAGAGCCCGAAAGCAGGTGGTGAACATCCCCTCCTTCATCGTGCGCCTCGACTCCCAGAAGCACATCGACTTCTCCCTGCGCTCGCCCTACGGGGGTGGCTGGGCTGGCAGGGTCAAGAGGAAGATCTCCAAGAAGGGCCAGGGACGGGCGGGTACCAGCGATGATGAGGAGGAAGATTACATTCATTGTGTCTCTCCCCC